TACTGTTCTAATATAACTTTCTTACATGGTGGTACAGTTAGAAAGAAAACACAGGACAGTTTGGTTTAAAAAGTGAAAATAAACAAATTAGTCTAATTTGTCCAAAGAGTCATCTTAATAAAAATATGAATTTTTTCTAATATAATTTGTAGACCTCTGTGTTTATAAATGAAATTCTTAAAGACTCCTTAAATTATATTTGAAAGCTCTGAATGTTCTTCTTCACATCTTATAACCTAGTAACCAAGACCATTAGATTAACTTTCAATTAAACCTTTTTTTCCCCAGAGTTTAATTAAAAGCAATTTGGAACACAAGCATGCTCCATAAGAGTTTATAATGTGATTTTTCTTCATCTTTTTTGCATTAGATCTTTTCATCTGGATTATCTGGGTATTCTAGGGTCTGTCCATAATGACCAGAATTGAGTTTTGAACAATTTTCTAGAAGAGGGAGAAAGAAAAGTAAGGATCTATAAGGGAACTGGTCGCATCTAAAATGGAAATAATTATTGACCACTATAAAAGTCAATCATCTTTGCTTTGCAAAGAGTGGGAAAGCCTTAGACTGCAGGCAAACCATTTCAATACATGAAAAAGAGAGAGTCATTGCAACCAGTTCAAATAGTGTCTTAGGCCCTTAACAATTCCATCAAGACCACAGGATTAAATCTCTGAAGAACAGAAATGAAGACAGAGGTCTCTTACAATAAGATAAGTGATTTCTTTTTAGACAAACAAGACACAGACTCTTCTCCTGAGGGTTTAACAAATGAACTTTTACATTTTAAAAAAAATGTTCTATTCAAATTTCATTTTGAAACTTTGTATAACAATAAAAATGCTAATCACTGAATGATATTCCCCTTTTGTTCTAAAAGTACTTTCAAGTGAATAATTGTAGTCACATCAAAAATACCCCAAAGTGGCCACTGCAATTCCAAGTTGTCCTTGATGAAATTATGCTTTTTAGAGAGATAAATGCATGAAAGAGAATACAGAAGCCAGAGTTATACCAGAAGGGAGCACAGTTTATTATTAAATGAATTCATGAGCTAAGGGTCAGTCAAAAGGGAAAATATCACTTATATATGTATCTAAAGTCCTCAACACTAAGGTTAAACCCCTGACAGCTAACCCTAAAAGTCAACATGCCAGAACAGGTAGACAGATCTCTCCCAAAGCCAATTTCTCAAACATAGACAAAGCTAAGAAAAGTTCCCATATGGACAAAACAATGTAGCCAATTGACAGGTAGGATGGTTAGTGTTAAATAAATGCTTTAGCAGACCTTTCATCAATGAAAACAAAAATTAATACGAACCCAATCAGATAACAGAAAAGTCCTGGGAACCTTATATTGATGACAAACAAAATAAGTATCAGCTATCCTTGGGAGCCCAACAGAAAAGGATAGAACCTCAGAATAAGCGTTGGACTTATCTCATCATCATAGACCAAGAATCCCCTGATCAAAGAGGCTCAAGAAACTTCAGTAAATTGCAATATAATCAATAATATAACTGGAAATAAGGCTTCTACAAGTCTTGGTGGGACCTCCGTAATTATCAAAATCCTAATACAAAGACCATCAGGGAAACCTGTTGATCATACAAAGCTGGATATTTTAAGTTTCTGAGCAAAGGAAAGCATCACCCTGACAGTGTAGGGGAGAAAAAAATAATTCTTCCTTATCCTTGTGAGTTCTTACCTGGGACCCCTATAACGAAAGACAGATTAACAAGAAAAAAACATAAGTTTATTAACGTGTATACCTCATATATACATGGGAGATACCCAAGGAAAAATGAGTAAATCTCAAAGAGGTGACCTAGAAGTCTGGCTTATATATATAGCCTCTTCAACAAAGAACAACAAATTCTTAGAGAAGTGACAAGACAAAGGAAAAGGACCTTAAGTCTCTAGGTACCGCAACTTATGGAAAGACAATTATATGGGAAACTAAGGATAGATTAAAGGCTAGTTAGTAAAATTTGATATGTAGATTCCTCTGGTGCCATCTCCAGGCTGGTAAGTGTCCACAGTTTTCTCTCTCCTAGTAGAGAGGAGCATAATGATGCCTTTGTAAAGTTATGTCCTGCTTTTAGGCAAGGGGTAAAGGAAGAGAGCTTTTCTTCTATCTGTTTCTTCTCAATTGCCCTCAGCTCAAAAATAATTTTTATGTCAAAGGGGCATATTTTGGGGGGCCATATTCTGCTACCCTTCAACAGAGTCAAAGAGTACTTTTATGATTTCGAGGACTGGGGTTGGTCATGGGGCAGTTTTAAGGTAGAAGTTAGTAAGTAAGGTCCAAACAGAGATTAGTCAGAATTTGTAAAATAGGTGAGTTGATAGAACAATCAGTCTTATCGTTGGAGCGCATGAGTCTATGTGGAGTTACTGTTAAATCAACAGCAACTATCTATAGTTACTACTATAAGTAATATATCATTAACAATATAGATCTGATCCAGCTTGTGTTAAAAACAATTTGACTTAAGATAGTTCAAATTACATGTCCTGGTTTGGTACAGTTTATCTGTTATGCAAGTAATAGTATAGTTTTGCAAGGTGATGTTTCTGTTTTATTTCTCAGAAGGAAATAGTTTGTAGGCAAGGCAGCCAAGTAGAAGGCTTTTACATAAATTCAGAAGTAATATAATAAATGCCTGTAATTGGTTTGGGGTGGTAACAGAGTGAATGAAAATGCAGGCTCAAGGAGGAGATAGATTAGAATGTTCTTAATGATTGAGGCCTTTGGGAAAAGAGTGGACTACAAAGGAAAAAAAAAGAATCAAAAGTTAAATGTTTGAAAGCTGGGAAGATAGAGGCACCATTGACAATACCAAAAACAGGAAATTGAAGTTAATATTATGTTTTGTTTTACTTTGTATATTTTTCTTTTGTATTTTAACTGTAATAAGTTTCCAGGCTTATTCCCAAGATAACTGGAAGTATAAGGTAACAGAAAATAAGATTCAGTTTTAAAGGGGAAAATTAGGAGTTTATTCTAGTGTATTCAGCTTTATACTCTTTCATTTAATTCTGTATTATTTTCTTTGAAAGTACTTAAAATGCACTGTAAATCCTACACTTTTTTCTATTTTTTCCACAAAATTCATATGTTGAAACCCACACTCTCATTTAACTAGCTATTATTTCATTATGTCAATTTTACAGACAAATAACTGGTTCTGCAGTGATCTCTAATGGTTCTGTTATTTCTGGAACTGTTTACAGCAAAATAACAGAGAACAACATGAATGGCAAAGAAAATACCCAAATAACAGAGGAATCTTACTTAGTTGGTGGTCAGTCCCCTGCTGTGAAAAAAAAAGTGATATAACCACACAATTTTCTTTCTGAAGCAACTGTTTTCATTAATGTAGTTAAAAAGCTGCAAGTCTTGGCCTTTATAAAATTATAATGACTTTAATAACTGTGTTAATTAAGATCAGAAAATTAATCTATGTTAGCATTGCAATAGCAATTTTCCAAGCACTGCCAGTGACTAAGGATGCAAGTGAGTAGCAGTGTCACGTGGCATCTGATGAAGTTAAATTAGTCCAATATTTGGAGAGAAGACTCCCAGGTGACACTGAATAAGATTCTGAGTTTTTCTCCAGCCTACTGTAAGGGGATAGTTGGTTGCAAAGCTACTGCTTTTCCAATATAAAGCCAAAAATATGGCCACATAGTATTACTAATGAGTCAGAAGGAAAATTAAAGGGGCTTATGGTTATTGTTTGGGAGAATTGATATGTGAAGCCCTGGGCACTGGTCATATTAACAGCATAAGCATCTGATATGTGCAGGCTTCCCTTTAATCTCCTGAAATAATATTCTAGATTTTCTCACTTCAAAGAAGCACTTCTTTTTTTTACTTTAGAATATTTAAGAAATCAAAGCATATCTTAAAACTGATGTGTATATTAAAGTTGCATGTGTGTGTGCATGTATACTCTTAAGTATCTTATAATCAAATAGTCTGTTCACATTATAAACTAATTTCATGTGTACTAGCATCTAGGAAGAACAACATGAGAACAATTGGAAGGAAAGCAGATGTTCTTCCAACATCACGTATCATAAAGAAAGGAAAGAAAATCACATTTATTGTACATTTATCTGCATAAACTGAGTGATCATTATCTCAGTCCTAACAGTTACCTTACAAGGTAGTTATTATTACTAACTATATTTTACAAATGAGAAAATAAGACAAAAGAGTTTGGGCAACTTGAATTTGGACCCTGTCTGAATTCAAAGCTCTTCCTACTTTGTATTCTTACTACCTCATTGAAACATCCTAATATAGAATAAGCCTCTTTAATTTTCTCCATAGACATAATAATAGGTATTAAATCTCTGAAGGTCAGTTCAATTTAGAGGAATGGAATTGTGGGTATATGTAGCTAAATGTTACTTGTTGAAGTTCGCTAGTATCAGAGATAAAACATCTGCCTCCCTCTCCTTCAGGTAAGTTTAACTTCTTTGATGTTGTTTAACTTCTTTGATGTTGACCCCACTTCAGAAAAGAGATGAAAAAGCTTGAAGGAAAAGATAAACTATTGTTCTCTTCAGACTGGAGAATATCATGTCACACAATCACTACCTCAAATGTTCCCAGTGAATGAGAAATTGGTAAATAATATAGGGAGGAAAAAAGATAATTATTTTATTTAGCTTGGCCCAGTAACCAATTACTAGGAAGGCCCAGTATCTCCAGAGCATTACTGTCAAATTGTGGCCAAAGCCAGTGTGATATTTGGCCTGCTGTTCAATCACCATTGAAATTTCTGCATTTTTTTTTATACTTCTATAGGAACATTTTCTCATCCTCCTATATTTTCAGTATTTATTCAAAGATCCTTTGGGCATATACTTTCTACATGCCAAATACTGTTGTAGGTGCTAGATGTGTTTAGTAGATTTTTTTTTTTATTACCAATAGGCAACATTATCCTAAAAGAATAATCTGTGATGTTTTTGGCTTTGTAGCTGCTAAATCCTGAAGATGACCTCTTACCAGGAAAGATTCGAGACAGCAATCGTTCAACTCTCCTAGCAACAATTCAGGAACATGGTTATCCCACAATCAACTTGGGAATTGTGGGAGACAAGTAAGTAGCATATTTTATTTTAAAAGGTATTATTATACAAATATGAAATTTTAGATTACTAACTAGATGGAATTGCTGCTAAGGAGACAGAAATTTAATATCATAATTTTCACTTGTCTCATTCTTCAGAAGCCAAAGAAATAGAGAGGTATGTATGTCCTTTAGGGATAAATATTTTCTTGGAATGTCTATAACAATAGGAAAAATATTTTACTTTCCTATGGGTGTGTTATGTTTACAGGGATCTTTTTTAATAGTGTTGGCTTTATCCCAGTGAAGCTAATGGTAAAGGTGTTATTCCTATTCACACTTCTATTCATTTCAAAAAAGATAGGAAAAACACAGATGAGAAGAGAGAGAGTGTCAAAATTAGCACTACCTAATTCTTTTAAGATTAGGTACAATTGTTTTCTAGTATTTTTATATTGATATTTGTATCCTTATATAACCTGTTTTTCCAGGCTTCACCCACTTTAAAGTACAATGGGAGGCACACTGACTATAATTGTCCATTTTTAACAGCATATTACCCCCATCCACTAAATTAACTCAGCCTTCTGCTAAACTCCTCAGATATTTCTGTGAATCTCCAGTGATATAGCACATGTGATCAACAGCAAGTCTGTGATCTGTGCTTTCTGAGCGTCCCACTACCGCACAATACCGCTGCTTAACTATCTTTCAGCAGGTACTATTTCCAATTCACTAGAGGCATACCTGCTTATAGTAATACTCAGACATCAGCCCGCTGCAGACAAAGCTAGGAAACAAATCTGAGTGATGAGTACCATGATGAATCTGTCACCCATAATCATCCCTTTCTGTCTTACCACCTTGTCATTGAGTAAAGCTCATTATGCATGATCCTTCTTCCTGTAAGATGAGTACTTTCCCAGCACTCAAATGTGCTTTTCAAAAGGTTCTGCCCTACCATTTCACAAGGTATGCTCTGACAAGGTATGCTATGAACTTCACCTAGCACTCAAATTAGACACAGTCCAAACCTTGGACACAGCACCTTGCTGGTAACCTGAAAGATAGTTTTCATGTCATCTCACCTTTTAAAGTTCTCTTCTTTCCTCACCTTTTAAAGTTCTCTTCTTTCCTCCTGATTTTTTTTTTCTTTCTCTAGGAACATCGAAATAGAGGCTATTTAATGTATTTTCAAATGTAATTCTTTTAAAAAATCTTTACCATTTGTAGTTACCTGACTGATCAGTTCTAAAGAAGTTCATTATTAAATAACTAGCCAGCTAGGGCCCATGCTAGTGAAGCCAGTGTACAAGTTACCAGCATCACCCTGACTCAGGGTCCCTAGTCCTAGGAAGAGAGTAGAAAGAACCCACTGCAAAAAAAAAAAAAAAAAAAAAAGCCAATATTTGAATTTGGACCTGAGCAGTAACCTGTTCTTTCATATAAATTTCAAGCACCTAAAAACTATCCTGATGCAGACATAGCTTTTTAAAACACAAAAATCAACTTCTGCTGAGAAGAGAGAAGATGAATCCAAGAATTTTAAAAGCACAGAGACAGGCAAGCAGGCCTGAAACTCCAGGGAACAAACTCACTCACTGGATTATTTAGTGTTGTTTCCCATCTACCAATGGGTCTGCCCCTACCTCCAAGTGCATTAATGAGATCTAATAAGAAATATTATAAGGTTAAAAGGAGCTTTTTAATCATTTTTACCCTAAGCTCTTCTGAACTATAATTCTGTTCATTCTCCCTCTAAGTGTTGAATTTTTGTATTTTTTTAAAAAGTTACTTGATATGCTGTATATACTGCCATTATCTTACTATAAATGCCAAAACACCATTGAAAGACCCATATGTTGGTATACTAATTGTCTCAAGTCCCCACTATTGATTTGTGGTAGACAGTTCCTAATAATTAATGTTGATACTATGTTTAACTCCAAAATGTGTCTTGAAACCTGTATAAGGAATAACAAAACTATAAGCAGGTATAAGCAATTCAGAAAATGTGGAAATCTCTAGTGTATACCCTTTTTTCTGACAGCAATACCTTATGTCAAACTGAGAATAAGTTTTTAAAAAAACAATTGGTGCAAATGTAGACTTTCTCAATCTTAGAATGCTATATTGAAGTGGTCCAGAGTGAATGATTTAAAATGCAGAGTGGAATGTTGGAGGAGGGAATTTATAACTGTTCTACTGGAAATCTGTGCTAGGAATTTAGCAAAGGAAACAAGGTACATTTAATCTACAGCCTGTTGATATTCTGTAAAGGTTGCCGTCCTCTTCATTACTATTCTTATGTAGCCGTTTGCTAAGGAAAGCAAATGTTGTCATACAGAATCTTCTGTATGAAGCTCTCCAGGGAAATAAGCAGAGTCATGGGAGAAATGCTACCTTAGATTTAAAGCAGGGAGATAAGTAGCCCAAGAATATCAAAGAGCACAGAACCCTTACTCAGCCATGACAAATAAGGGTAAAGAGTGACAATGCTATTCATGTCATTAAAAAAGGTTTGAGTCTGGTTTCTAAATTGTATATGATTCTACTTTTCAGCTCTTATTCTTATCACCTACCATAATTTTGGCAATCAATGTGAAATAGAAGAGTAAGACTTTGTAACAATTTGAAGTGAGTTGCTAGCTGGTGTGCCTTTGCTTATTGTACCCTTTATTTTAAAACAGGGTAATTTAATAGTACTGCGAAGATTGCACAAGGGGCATTTAAAATACCTGAGAGTTAACCATTATATTTGAAAAGCATTCATTTATAAATACTATAGTGTATATTAAAATACATTTCCTAAAACATAATTTCTCACACTATGTGTAACATACTACTATTGGGGTCCCTAGTCTTTTGCTTTAAAAAGACAAATTTTAAAACCTGGAGATGTTAATTATTAAATAAATTACCAGCATTATACAACTAGTTAATAACAGGTGAAAATGGAATCTAAATTTCTTGAGATTAACAATTCATAATTCTCTGCTATCATTATGAAGACAAGATGTTATTTAAATATATCAGAAGAGTAGTATCACTATGGTCTAGAGTGATCAGAGAGCATTTTATAAAGGTAAAATTTTATCTAAAATTTAAAGAATGAGTAGGATTTAAATAGGAAAAGAAGATGTGGTAATCCAAGTAGGAAACAAAACAAACAAAAATAGAGAAGTAAAAGCAAATACTGTATAGAGAAGTAGAAATGAATAGCTGCTCAGGTTAGGCCAGACTGATTAGAAGAGGAGGTTCAGGTTGAAGGATACTGCAGGTAAATTTGGTTAGAAATTTGAAGCCAGATTTTGAAAGGCTTTGCAATTTAGGCAGAAGTACCCCATTCAGTTAAATTTGAAGCTTTTTTTTTTTTTTAGCAGAATTGACATAATAAACTATTATTTTAGAAAGGTAATTTGACAAAAATGTATCACACGGGCCAATGATGGAGAGAGAATGGAAATAAGGAGAACAATACAATTATTTATTCATTGTTAAGTCAGTCACCAGCAAATATTGATGGTGTACCTATGCGAATTACCTGGAGATCTTAGTGAAAATGCTGATTATGATTGGGGTAGGCTGAAATTTTGCATTTCTAACAAGCTCTGAAGTAATACCAAACTTTTGGTACATGGATCACAGGAAGTAGCAAGGATTTAGTAAATTCAGTTATGCATCTAATATAAATTTTAAGCCAAAACTATTGAAGATACAAAGTTGAAACAGACATAGATACTGTTTTTGAGGGACTGCAGCTCAGTAGTAAAAATATTTTAGTAAGTTCCAGAGCTTAAGTTCAGATTTGGAAGTAGAATTCAAAAGAAAGGGATTAAATATAAGAGAAACTGTGAAGGGTAGTACATAAAGCAGAACAGTGTCAGTGATGATTTCTCTTCATCTGGATTACAAAGCCTCAAAATGGTATGTGTATGTAAACACAAAATGCCTACAAAACCCAGCTATTGGGCCTCTTTACTACAATTTTATATCCCTCTCTAGCAACACATTATTTCCTCATCTTCATCCTCCATTCACAATCTATCCTTTCTTGGCTTTTGTAGCTCTATTTCCTGTGCTCATTTCCTAAATACAGGTTTCTCCATGGCTTACCCCTAGCTTTCTGTCCTTCTAATTCCTTATGATGATGACTCCCAAATCTTATATCCGCAACCCAGATATGAAACTAGTCAAGCCTGGACCTTCCAAATTAGTACAAATTTATGTGAGTTTATATACTTTTAAGCACTATCTCATTTCTACCTTAAAGATGGGATTGTAGATTTCCTAGTTTTCTTTCCTCCTGGCTGGTTCAATAACCTATTAGCCTCTTTTTTGTCCTCCTAGCAGCATGAGCTAGGGGGAAAGGCAAACAAAGAAGTTTGGATAGGTAAATAAGTACAGAGTGCTACAGGTGCCAGCCAAGGCTGTGGTGGCCAGAACTTAGTTAAGATATTAGTCATTTGAGCACATATATGCTTCTCTGTTTTGGCATTTTTCTTTTCTGTCAGTTTCCTGATAAATTATCTTTAGGAAATTGCTATCTTGTATGGCCTAACCAGGGTGGGAAGAGGATTTGTTAGTATTGGGCTAGGGTTATTTTGTTCCCCACCAGACAGTAAACTCCATGAAGACTAGAATAAAGTGTGTCTTGGTAACCACTATGTCCACAGCACTTAGTAGGAGTACATCTCCTAGATTAGATGGCCCTCCCATTTTTTCCTGTATCATCTTCTCTTTCCATGAAACCAACTGCCACTATTCCAACTGTACAACACTGTCCAGAAGAATCTTACAGGATCCCTTCAAAGTCCAAAAACCTTAGCCACAGGAACAGGCCAGAAAGTATGGCACTGACAACCGAATTGCATTAGTAACTAAGACACATCCCTAAAAAGTGCACAATGTAAAGCTTTGTGCCTGCAGTGATTTGTTTTATATTTCTGATGAAAAGGATCTCAGTGGGAGGGCTTCCAGATGGATTTGGCAAACTTTTAATTTTAAAAATTGATGAGCTGCTCCCTCAG